CAACTGGGCTTCACACATCTTCGTGCACCTACTGGCATCAAGCCAGATGAATTTTATGCGCCTTCGACTGCTTCTGTGAGCCTTTCAAGAATTCACATGTATCATTTAATTTCCAAGGCCAGGCGGCAGACAGACCATTCAGTTAGACAATTGGTCAGTGGGTCAGTTAGTAATAAAATAGTTTTAACTCACCCATTGTTCGGCTTTTGATCGTTGTAGAAGGATTCGTTCCATTCAGATGGTATTTACCATAATTAAATGCAAATTCCTCGAAGGCGACTGCCACCTTAAAGATGGATTCTCTTTTCTTTTCATCTCCCCCATCATTAAGTTGGCCTTTATTGGGTGTCGTGATGTTTAGAAAATTATCGATGAAGTCTTCAAATACTTGCATAGCCTCCTTTAAGGACCAAAAAGTTCTTTAATCATGTCGAACGTCATCATAATGAGAAAACAAAAGTGCACATCATAGGACTTGAACTGATTGGATATTGCATGATTTGAAAAAGAAGCGTTTCAACAGAACATCATTTCAGTGAATTAGCCACACCTATTTAGAAGAGGCATATTTTCCTACTTTAAATTCTCGTAGCACACACTATTGTCATGCTTTTACCTCTGTATAAAACGCTTTTGCAGCTTACAAACTGTAGCTTTGCATCGGTAACTCCTTCTAATTACTGCATATTTCAAATCTACAAGTAATGTTCATCTTGTTATTAGGAGACAATAGTGCATTCATACCTTCAAAGAATTATTTCTCTTGCTATCTATTCCACTAAGTTTAGAAACAGATCCATTTGCCTGAGGTAAAGAAAGACAAAAGCGTTGAGGAATGGCAGAAACTATGAAAAAAAAAAAAAAGAGAAATTACGAAACATACCAGATTCTTAAGTATTTCCAACGTAGATTTCCAAGTTGACGATGGCGGAGACGACGATGCTGCTGCTGGTGATGATGAAGATGCTGGTGATTTTATTGATACTGATTCCGATTCTGCTGTTGCTGATGC